AATCAGCTAGACCTTACTAAGAAATTCCAATAAACAGGAAATTTAAATGGATGACTGCCATTCGTAACCGTCTAAAATCATTAATCAGTTAATATTTTGTTCAATAAATATTTTTCTAGCCAATTAATATTAAATATCAATTGGACCAAAGATTGAAATCACTAAAATTAATCAAACCAATAATATCAACTGAATTTCACAAGGGATAAAATAAGTGGTTGGCTAACGTGATTTTACTTCATGGGATTACCAAATATGTTAATTTTTATCAAATTCATATCAATCATTTGATAAACATTGTGATTTCAATAAAATTTCCACGACATATTACTTAGGGGCTGCTTTTAATTTCTACCATACTGTAATACAACTCATTTAGACTAATTTATGGGACGAAATGGCCGTCCAGTGCTTCCAGGTTTTCCATGGTGGTTTAGCTTCAATTGACTCATGATCTAAACTATTGAAATTGTGATTGTTTAGTTTATTGGACAAATCAAACACTTCAAAGATCAAATGTCATTTCATCAACCATTCTACTGTGAACATATTTGACGAAACATTTAATTATTTTTTTCTGAACTGTACTTTTTAATATTGTATAAAGAATATAGATATATTCTGAAATAAACTAAATGTACGTAAATACTAGGTGATGTAAACAATTCTGGCATCATTAAACTGCCAAATTCTATTTTTATCACAACACAAATGTATCGATTTTGGAACTGATTTTCATGAAAATACTTAACACGTAATTTTCGTCTCTCCTCCTATCTAAACTGATCGCGAATACAATATAATGAAGCAGTTTATGAAAGTAAAGAACAAAGGTAAAATCACATGATATATCTAAATATTTTTCTAACATTAAACTAAGGTAACAGTTGATTAGGGCCAATAATAATAACAACGACAACAAAGAATTTGTGATTCTATACATCATGTGGTATGCACTTCTTATGAGGACAGATATAAGTAGTATGTAGAAGGAATTGGAAGTAGAATGCTTACTAGTGGAAGAGTGAAATAAAAAAGGGAAGGAAAATGAAGAGCAATTAGTATAAAAACAGGATCGGAAGAATGATAAAGTATATAAAGGACAACTGAAGGAAGGTATGCAGACGACGTATTTAGTGTATGATTTTCATGTTTTACAAAAGTACTGTTTGGTTTTCCTCGTTTACTACAATCACGATACTAATTAGAGACTTTACAAATAGTCACAGTGTGGTGACTGACACAAAGTTACATGAAAAAATATATAAAAGAGAGATATGAACCCAATAAAAAGGAAGACAATATAAAATATAAAAAACAGCTAAGTGTTGGGATGATCTGAAAACATTTACAGTGTTAACTAAGTTTGTTGTACCTAGCGCTTCAAGTCTTATTTTTTTTCATTCATCTAGTAAATGATTGATGCATCATCAAAAATTTCAGTTCATGTAACTAGATTTATTGGTCATGGATATGTCCAGTGTAACACAGCTCGATACACAGAGAAAAAACCACAGATAAACGTTATAGCTCAAAATGAAATGTTTTATGAAAGTTAAATTTCAATATACAATACCCATTTACAAAATGAATAGGAAAATAACCGAAATTTCTGGATACAACAGAGGGAATAGCATTGAATGGAGAATATTTCATTCTTTATAGGGAGAGAAATATGTTTGTCCAAACATTAACTCAGACTATTATTATTGTCATTATTATTCTTATCAAAAATTTAAAAAAGTAAAAGCTTGTCTTTAACCACCAGAATAGATCAAACATTAATAGATAGTTGGGACTGGTCGACAGGAAAAGCTGCTCGATTTAGGTTTTGTGCTATTCGGCACTCCTTAGCGAGGCGTACCTGCATTCTTGAGGGAATCGATGCTACCTGGTAGGTTCACATCTTCGTACCACTAAATTTCACAGCCTGAAACAATATCACAACTATTTGGCCAGAAACTAACATGTTGTAGAAATGAGATGCATACAGCCGATTGATCACTGGGTAGTGACCAATATCATTTTTTATCTAACTTTTTACTGTTGGCTAGATCTTATCCATAAAGTGTTAATGTGACGACTAGACCAAGTGACTCTACATCGTGTTCACTATTTTTGATGTTAGGTGGTTGGAGGTAATCGGCCACATTGAAGTTTGATAGGGGGAATTAGATTAGCATAATATATATTCTTAAATAATTGAAATAAAGTTGTTATTGAAAGAATGAACAATTTATTGTAGTTCCACATCTCAGATTACATAACTCTGCCTGTAGCTCTTCTAGGGTTACTGCCGGTTCCAAACCTGGGTAAAAGGGGAGGGGAGGATATGGGGTCAGCAACCTCAGCACGTAGGAAACAACCTTGCTAATAAACGCTCAGACTACATACTGATTGTTTTTTAGTAATCATCTATATACAAGTTGATTTCAGTTAATTTCAATCGATTCCATCCAAATATGTGGTCCAGTTTCATGATAAAAATCATTACAACTGAACAGAATAACTCACCAAAACTGTAGAAGAATATATTATTGCTACATGAAGAGTAAACATGAACTAGTCAACTTGGCGATGTGATAATTCCTGAGACAAGCAAATGTAAAATAATAATAAGAATAATAATAATGGGGATAGAGAAATTAATTGTTCTTTAAAATGTAGATTATTTAATTTTAAGAAAATTAGTTAATTAACTTCGAACCTTATTTCATAAATTTAACTGAATAAATGTGGGAAAACTGTTCAATTTGATTAAAATTAAATTTAGAAAAGAATCAGTTTCAAGAGAGGGAAAAAATGAAGGGAATCTGGTTAGTTAGTTTAAGCAAAGTGAAGTGATTTTTAAGCAAAGATGGATAGTGGCTAGCAGTGGAGTGTAGGACGCGCGTTTCGTCCCATTTGGGACTCGTCAGCTGGATGTACCTGTATCGCAGAGTTGATCTTCACTTCGGGACTCGGACCCAGTACTGTTCGTTTCAAACGCTATCATGATATCGACTTAGCTACTGAGCCCTGATAGCCACCTGCTTTTACAATGGGGTGACGTTTAAATTCACTTGGTATTGTTTTACCTGTATCTTCCCATTGTTGTTTATGACTGCAGTTGAGACTGGTCAATTGCAGCACTAAATAACAATGGGAAGATACAAGTAAAACAACACCGAAGTGAAGTGACACTAAAAAATGATTAAATTTGTATGGTTTGTTTACTTTTTATTATCAACTCCAAATGGTGATTTTTAGAAATACACTGCTAATGATCATTTACTGTTAAGGTAAACCGATAGAGTGCTAAACTGAATAACATCAGAAGTTAAATTATTAACGTCAACAACCACTATGAGTGATTTTAAAATGTTAAATTGGTACCTTTTTTTTAGCTAAAAACGAACTCCTCAATTGAAATACCAGAAACAAAGTATTCAGACAGTCATACTGTTCAACTTACTACCAAGTGAGTATTTATCAATTAATATAAACTTCAGCTGGTGGAGTTTTATGTAGATTGATTTAACTTGTAGGTCGTGCCATTGAAAACCAGTTGTTTCGTACTGCTATAAGATTTTAGTGAACATCAATTCTAGGATGCAGGTACATCTAACCAAAGACGAGTTCCAAATAAGATGAAACTCCCGTCTTGGATTCCACTGTTAGCCAACATCCATCTCTTCTAATAATTTTTTATACTATAAATCGAGTTATTACTTAATATTTGTCTGTATGAAAAACCAGTTAAGTAAAGATGCTACTCGGATTCATGTGATAGTGACAGTTGATCATGACAGTTACCATTTGTTTTAATCCAAAGAGAGTACAATGCAATTCTAACACTAAGTGCATAACTAACTCCCTTCACTGAAGGATAACTATCTTATATACTTAGTAACTGATGTCATTAATTTCTATACTGTTAACCTCAAGTATACATAATAATAAATTTACGTTAGTCACAATTCAAATGTTGTTACTACCAGAGTATCCACTTACTAAATGAACTTTATTGTACTTAAAATATAAAATTGATTTATGAAACTAAATTGGATTTATTGGAAATAAGGTGAGTTGTTATTTCTATAAAAACTTATTAATATATGACTGATTACTATTTAAAGTACATTTATAAGACAGAAAGACTTTTTTCTTAAAGTCAAGATTAATAATAAGTACAAAATAAGATCACAAAAAGATTACTGAAATAGATGAGCGACATATTTCATTTAAAATATATATTCACTGGGAAAACTTTGAAGAATATATTGCTTAATGACTTTATGACTTTATATAGATTAATTCCTAACTAAATAAATGATGGTTAATATACTCAGTATTTTCGGTTAATTTCTTCAACTATTCAATGAGTGAATGTTACTGACTGAAGCGTAATTTATACTAACAATTTCATTTTTTTAAGCCTCTGAATGTATACAAAACTATGTACAACCAACATGTCAGTGTAGCGCAGCGTAACATCATGTATGTAAAGCATAAATATAGTTAAAGTGAGGATTTGAAATGAAACATTAAAAATGAAAACTATACTCTTATGTGTAGCAGCTTATCATTAAATGAGGGGGAAAATGGTCGAATGTACTGAATACAACACAGTTATTGAATAATGAGAATGTTGGGAATAACCTCAATCAGAATAAATGGAACACTTTTTTCTAATAGTCACATACTGAACTTTGAAAATCCAGTCGTCTAAATATCACATGTCATACATTAGATACTAAATAGTAAAAAAGGTTAAGATTATCCATTATGAATAAGTTCCAAACTAATGATGACACAGATAAATATTGGTGTTTGTCACTGCACTTTTTTCAAATGATACCAGAGCGTTGCCAGATAAATAATTAATAAACCCATAATAGTTACGTAACTTAAAACATTGATTTTTATTCTTCTGTTAATGATAAGTTAAAAAAGCAACACTTTCTAAAACAAAGTTTTACTATAAACAGTAAAATACAAAACAAGAAAATTAAACTTACCGAATAGAATCTTTATCAATAGCTGGTGATAAATGCTCAAAAACAACTTCTGTAATATCCGATGCATTGAAACGTGGTCTAATACGTCTACATATAAGTGCACGATCCAAAAATACTGTAAGTTGTGACATTTGACATTCAAACATATTATATACTTGTCGAGATCTATCCAAACCACCACCAACTAAAGCTCCACTTTTTCCAGGGCCACCACCAGCATTTCCACTGCTGTTAGCACCAACACCTCCATTTGTTCCTCCATCAATAGGATTTTGACCAGTTTTAGGATAAACAGTAGAACCTTTCTGTTGACCTGCTATTGTTCCAGATCCAACTGGAGGACCACTAACATTTCCGCCTGTAGGAACTACCACAGAATTATTCGATGCTATATTTCTAGCGAAGTGATGTGTGCCACCTGTTGTTATTGTATTTGTTTGATGATGTGATGAATATTGATCACTTAATACATCGCCAGTTTGTGGATTTAAAATTAACATCTCTTGTTGTTTAATCAAACCAGCTTGATGATGCATAATATATTGTTCAGGTCGTAGTGGTTGAAGGGAACCAATCACACTATTTCGTTAATTTAAAAAAAAATAATTATTAAAGTCCCTATAGTTATCTGCTAAATAATAGTACAAAAATTTTAATAGCCTTTTTATGAGTAAGAAACGTGTGTATTCTTGAAATTCCAGGTTAAACTAAAAAAAGGATTCAAATGATTTGTAGAAAAGTCATTCGTGAAACATCTTGATCTAGTCGCAAGCACAACAGCAATAACGATCCATTTTAAATATGGAATCGACGTTAAGTAATAACAGAATGTGAAATTAAGAACATTTAAAAACGAGACACACGAAAAAGTCATGTGACAGACTTAATTTATAACCAATAGTAACAAATTGTGTGGCACACTACATATCAGTAGGCGTGTAAACTACACACATATGAATCTACACAACCACTGTATTATGTTTTATTTGGCTACTCCTGACCAAATTAAGGTAAAAGTCTTCATTTACATATCACAAATACTACTTAATAACAAATGCAACAATAAAATACAATAATGAGTCTGATGTATGAGACTTTCAATACTGGTTGCAAAAGACTATGAATGACTATCTATGATTGACAGTAGTAGCAGTAATGATATATGTCTTGTTACAGCGGTTTTCAGAGCTCCACATTATGCTGAAGTCTACAATCATCATTTTAAAGACCGGTTGCCGTCTCACAATTTTCAATCTTTTTACTGTTAGGATTTAAGTAATTTAGTTCAAACAGTTATAGACATGAAAAATAAGCAAGCACCACAATATAATGTTTGATTCCTGTAACACGTTTTTACGTATCGATAAATCATAAATCACTGTTCTACACATGGTTAGTTATCCATCTTAGGCTACTTTATTCTTCATTTCATATTGATCGAAACTCGAATCTATCTCTCCGTTTCAAAGAGAAATCTTAATACTTCGTATTTGAACTGTTCCTATTTTCATCATGAATTTATTTTGAACAAACAAATATTTAAAATTGGAAACACTCAGTACGTTTAATCTTAATTTTGTTCAAATACTTTGGAATGCTGGAATCTATGGCAAACTTGTAACACGACCATTAGATTAGGTTCCACTAGATGAAACTTTAAACTAAAATCGTTTTGTAAGAAAGAACTAAGTATCTATTCTGAAGCCCGTAATTTACAGACTTAATTCCAATGATCAAAAATTATAAGGTTGTTCCGTCGTAAAAAAATTAAAAAACAGGACTAAAAGGTTATTTGATAGACCTTAATGCTTTTTAGCAATTTTAAGCAGATGCAGAAATATACTAGAAATCAACGATACAGTTTTACTTTGGTTTTAAACTTTTGTCTTAATACTTCAACAACTATTACCAATTATTCCCCCATCCCATTGTTTTCTTTAACTATCCTTTCTTATCAGCATATCACAAGTATCTAATTTATTTCCATTTTCTTTACCTCTGTTAAATTGTAGTTGGAAGTAATTTACACATGGAGGAATGCACATATCAAAAATAATTTAAAAACTGGTGGGAAATAAAAATGACTGATTGATTGTTTCGCTTTCGTTCCGGAATTTTCAGAAATATGCTTTCTAATTTTGTATTAAATAAACGACCTTTCATTAATTCGATCTAGATTTTTAATTACCGCCAACTAGCTATTTCTCGTGATCTTCATTGAAATCAGGAGGAAATAGCTGTACATATTTCAATGATTTCAGCTACTATCTACTAGTTATAATAGAAAGAAATTAACTTCCCATAAACCTGCCTTAAATAAAGAATAATGATGAACATAAGGCTGTCGATGGAAAACTAAACTGAATTCCTCTTAGTTCTACCAGAAAGTCATGCATGTATAGTTATGAGTTAAGCAGCAACTCTAACTGACAACAGTGAATAAAGATCATGTTGTACTATGAAACAGATCAACACATATAAGCAAACTATATTGTTTTCAGTTAGATCTTCATCAGGCTTTAATTATGTAGCAATATTTATATGAGTATATGAAAAATATTAAAAATACATCAATCTGTGTGAATGATAACAATAAAAAAGTATTACGTAACCAGTTCTGACAGGTAAAAGTACAAATTGATATTGAAATGATAAGTTTATTGGTTATGATAACAATAACAAACAGTATGATAACGGTAATAAGTATATTGACACGAGAAGTAGGCCAAAGCTTGGAAGAATAAACTCATCAAACTAGTCATATGAAGCTCAGTAATGGGAGATGCTTGGATAGTCATTTAAAGTACGTAGATAGTAAAGAAAACAAGTGGAACGACTAATGAACACAAAGAATTAATAACACCATTTATTAAGTCTTCTCTGACCAAGTGAGGAACAGAAAAATAGCACAAATGGCTTAAATCCCTGTGACTTCCGCTCTATGTGTGGGATGAGGACAAAAACCCAAGCGGAAACATCTGCAAACATTTGATAAATCACTATAAGTGTTCACAATCAACTGATCACTGAGCAGTGATCAATGTCATATGTGTCAGGTCCTTCTTAGCATAGGTCGAATGCTATTGACCAAGTTGTAATGTGGCCACTAGTCTATGTGACTCCTCATTGCATGCACTAGGTTTCCTGTTGACTACCTCCAACTACCATCTTACCTCAATTTAAGTGTTTTGGTTCTACCTTCTACATAACTACTATTGAGTAAGTGTAATGGAGTTAATCATATTTGAAGACATACAGCATTGGACTATCCCCCAGTGGGCCGATCAGGCATCAGACAAATGATCAGTTCACTCAACCGCCCAACATGCAGCCTTTTTCCTAAGGAATGAGACACTACATTGATGAAAAATATGGCTTAAGCTTTTTTTGGATTATATGTATAAAGTTCCTCACTAAAGTAGTCAGTTGAGCTTGTAAATAAAGGACTTGTTTATCAGTATCGGATATCGTATTCAGTAATTAGAGTAATGTTATTACCGTAATAAATAAAGGTTATGTGTACAAAGCGCAGTCGAGAGTCCCATTCAATAGTTGCTTCATATGTTGATATGTATGATTAAATTCTCTGAATGAACATTTAACCATGTAATATATGGACATAAATAACGACCTTGTACTTTCGATTGTTGAGTTATTATTTATCGATCTAAATCTTGGACTTATCATTCTCTTGATGAACTGTTTTACAGATAGAGTAAGCCGTCGTCATCACATGAGATTGGTGATGTCTTTATCATCAGTTTATATTCAAATAAACAAATAACATGTTTTCACTCTCCTTTACCTTGGTTATTCGGAATTAAGCAGAAAAATAGATGTGAGAATAATTAATTTTTAACTATCAGTCGGAAACAACCGTAAAAAACCTGAAAAAACATTAGGATTTAATTCATTTTGTATTGGATGTTTGAATCTTTCCATTGATGTCTAGAACTGCAACTGATCACTCTCTTATCGGTATATGTGCTTCCTGTTCGATTTGCCTCGATATTGCCTTAACTCACAAGCATTATGAGCAAAGACGGATGGTGGTTAGCGGTGGAATCCAGAACGCGCGTTTCATCCTATTTGGGACGGCGACGATTTCGAGTCTCTGAGTGAATATCAACTCTAGAATGCAGGTACATCTGGCTGACGAGTCCCAAATGGGACAAAACGCGAGTTCTGGATTCCACTGCTAGCCACCATCCATCTATGCCTATAACATTAGGATTTGTTATAGCTTGCATCATAGACTAATCCCAGATGATTAACCGATGAGATGAGTAACACTAACTTTTAAAAAAATTACAAAATTCTAGAGGGAAGTTGTGACAAAGTTAAAGAATTCATTGAAACTAAAAATGTAAACCGTGAAACCCGTAAATGATGAAGATTGCTAATTTAGGTTCAATGCTTTTTCTTACTCGTTATCCTTAATGAAACTTAACCCAGAATGTAAATGGTTTTCATAATCAATCAGCTGAACAACTAGTTTGCATATATTCAAAAGACATATTGGTACACTAAACATCACATGAATCGAACCTACTCAATTTCCGTAGAAAGCTATTTCCAGATTAATCCATTTTACAAGCAAACTAATTGAACTGTATAATTTTTACAATCAGTTAAACTCATTGTCATAAAATTGATTAATTTGAAAAGTATTGACCAATGGTTGCTTTCCGACCCAGCTAAATCAAATTAATCTAATCACTATGAAACCTTAAGGCCATTTTACACATTTTCAGAGAGTTGTTTTCTGTTAAATCCCAACAACATAGAATAAATAAATTACTAATTACTTTCCACGGTGTTTACTAAATATTATTGTTGATGACGGTTCATAACGAAACCATAACAGTCAGTTGATCAATAATAAAACTAATGAAGTTAGGAAAATCATTAACTTGACAGTACTTACTCAGGTAAGTAAGTAATAGAGATTTCATCGGTAAAAATATAGATTATACAAAGGATAGGATTTCCACATAAATATAAGACATTGTTAATTATCTGATGATCAAAGAATCATTATCTTTTCAGTTCAGAAGAATGACTATGAATATGTAATATACTGAGAATGTGTAAAGGTATATATATATATATATATATATATATATATATATATATCCCAGAGTGCACCATTTATTGATATTGATCCTTTGAAATGATGAATGGTTATCGTTACAATAATTAATTTTTTAAGTAGAGATGGATGGTGGCTAGCAGTGGAATCCAGGATGCGCGTTTCGTCCCATTTGGGACTCGTCAGATAAATGTACCTGCATCCCAGAGTTGATATTCCCTTCGTGACTCGAACCCGGTGCCGTTCACTTCAGACGCCATCGCGATATCCACTTAGCTATTGAGTCCAGATAGTCACTAAATTGTGCAATAGGGTGTCTATAGTGCTTTTGACTTAATGCGATATCGAAGCAATCCGAACAGGAAGCACATATAAGAGACTAATCAGTTGCAGTTCCAGACATCAATGGGAAGATTCAAGCAAACAATACAAAAGTGAATTAATTTTTACTTTCAGAAAAAAAGGAGTAAAGAAGAGTATTCGCAGATCATTTAGTTTTGAAGATTGCATTAAAAGACGTTATACACACGAGTAAAACTTTCCCTCAGTACTTTAGTGTGGAAAATGCCAAAGAAACAATCCTTATTTTAAAAAATCTATTGTAAAATGTTGGTCATAATAAGCGGGGTAAAAAATTTGATGAGAAAATAACTACTAAAATAGTACTATAGTTTCGATGTAGAGGCTTTTTGGAGATTAGTTAGTATTCGTCATAAATCGTTTTCAGTTCGAGTCTCAGTGGAAACAGAGAGCACTTAACGGATATTCTGTGCTTGAATTAGAATCCTTAGGAGTGTGTATTCAGTTTTCTACCGTTAATTAAACCTGAGAGCCTCAAATCCCTCATTGAAACTTTGTCCACTAGATCACTAAGTTGGTATCCAACGGCAGATATTTCCATTTTCAAACAATTCGTAATATGGAACTGCAGTTGATAACTGTTCAACTCTCAAAATACCTGGACTCTAGTGACCACCACTCCTGACCATAAGTTCAGTGAATTATTTTCATGCAATTTACTTATGAGATAATGGTCGTGGTTTCTATGTACAAATATTGTGGAGACACGTTTAATTTGAACGTGGTTCTCAACGTGGTATGACTTAAGCTAGATACTATCAAAAATCAGGGAGTACTGGGCAGTTGTCCTCCCTAGTATGAGACAAAAGGTTAAGTAATGGCCACGAAATTTTAAGACCCTGGACTCAAGCCTTGTCAGAGAGTCACATACTAAGAAGAAACAACTGTTCAGTGTTCCATGGTTGGAATTCAGCTACGTCAACTTAGCAATTACTAAACGCACCAACTATGAAACAGCTAGAGAATTTGTTAAACCTGAGATTTAAATTAAATGTTTATAAATTGTTATGTACAGCAAGAATGAATATATAGTTTCTATGAATTTCGCGTAATGTATATCATTTACGCAGCTCATATGAAGCTCAAAAATTAATAAGAGTGAGGTTTTTTTATTCATTTATCCCACTTTTAAAGATGCTTTAATCAACCCAAGAGAATATCTTTCCGGGTGAAAACGTCCAAATTAACCACTCAGAAAACTTTCAAATTATGTCAGTCAAACAAATCATAGTAACATTCACCTGTTCATTCAAACAAAATAGCCAATTCTGAAACAGTAAATGTATTCTGGGTAATCAATTTTCACCACATATATAGAAAATAATTGTCGAAAACATTGTTTGATCAAAATTAATTCATATTCGCGCGTAAAATATCAATCAACGAAGTTGAAGTTGAGCTAAATCATTAGTTTTAAGTAACCACAAAAATATGTGGTTGTCCCAGTCTATTAAGAAGCTGCATTGTAGATACTAGTCTGAAAATTTTCCAGTAAAAATACCAACTTACAGAGGAGGATAATGTGATGTAATGAATGAAATATAAATCAACTTTATAGTTGTCAATTTCTGAGTGCTAATGTTTTAACATTTGCTTTATACTTGTAAATCCCAACAGAATGAGTTTATCATTTGACATCAACTTCGTTTAGTATTGTGATAAATAGGCGCCTGTAATAGATATAGTCATTCTACTTCTAAATCATATTAGCAACTCAATCCGGTAGCTCCGTGCTGATGAGTCTTTGCAAAGACGAAACTTCAATGTGAAGAAAAAATTAATAACCAAATTGCAAATAATGTGTAAATTTTGCAGCCTAAACGTCAATGAAATGAGTGAAATAAGGAGCCTAAGATGTTTATCTTTCATATGCCACTACACAATGAAAACAATCTTATAGTAGCCAACTTAACAGAAGTAAAGTATATGGACAAACCAATCAGATTTTAGTCAGCGTCTCCTGAGTTTTGGAGCAAAATTCATCCATTCATATGGTTACAAAAGACGTCATTTCAGGATAAAAACCGGAATAATTCACGTATGAAGGTTCATCATTCATGTCAAATCTACTTATCGATTGTAATAATTTTGCCATTTTTTTACTAAGAATCATTGTATAATCGAATATTCTTTTCCGATTGCCTTATAGATCACTCAAAATCATCCATATACTTTACTTCTATCGCTAACTTGATCTTGGAAACAACCTTGGGAAAAGAATAATTCATTTAGGAACAATTAAAAACGAGACGACACTATGACTCACTTCTTTTTCTCTAAATCTTCTTTGATTTGATTAAACGATAATTTTTGTTGATTTTCAACATTTTGAATATTTAAACATTCCATATTTTGTTCAGCAACCAGTTCATTTTTGCCATGTTCATTTTTCAAAATGTCTTGATCCAATTCTTGTTCTGAATGCGATGGACACGTAGAATCGTGATAACTTTCTTCGGTTTTCATATTAGTATACTCTGATCGATCATCGTTCATGGGAATATCTTCATTACTATTATTATTTCCACTAATGTTTTCTTTAATATCACCTGGTAAATATTCATCTTCTCCACCATTTAATCTGTTTTGATATTCACCATGATTCATATGATTTAAATGTCCAAAAGAACTTTGAGCTGGCGTATTGTCAATGTCATACGATGGATATGAAATGTATGATTCCCGATTGAGTTCCGATTGATCAGCCGTAATATCAGATACACCAACTGTAGTACTCATTGATGTATCACAATTTAAAGTGTTTAGTGTTAATTCTTTTAAATTATCGTTATTGTTACTAGTATTTGTAGTATTATTCACAGATTCACTTAGAGAATCAATTGATAAAGTATGTTTCGATGGTACAACTTCACTAGATGCAAATGAGTTTCGATAATTAGTATCTGTCAAGTGATTTGGTGAATCGGTTAGTACTGACGATGTTACAGACTTTACGAACAAAGCGCTAGAATGTGTTTCGTCTAGTAGTTCAGCGCCAATTGTAGAACTACTATTTCTACTGTGCTCGTCCACTACTACTACTACTTCTTCTTCTGGACAAAATTCAGTAGACGATAAGGAATTCGAAATCTCAACAGATGATTTATTTCTGTATGGTAGAAAAGTCTGAGGATTTTCTGATTTACCAGGATCGTTTATTGCTTCCTCGATGCAAACCGGATTAGTTATTTCTTCGTCAAGGTCAGACGATTTATTAACTTGTTTCTCACTGGTAGATAATGTAGGAAATTCTTTTTCTACGTAAGATGATTCGGTTGCTTCGTTTTCAGGATTCAATAAACTGATTGATTCTTCTTCAAAGTCAAGCAATTCTGTTGATTTTTCTTCAATGTTTGTTTTGTCTTTCAGTTCGCATGTACTAGTGAGGTCGTTCTGTTCAACTCGAACCTCTATATCAATACTTTTTTCTAAGTAGTCAACGGATTGACTATTTAGTTGTTCTCCAGTAGGCTCTTGTAGTGAATTTTCAGCGTCTTCCTCTGTAAAGTTTTTTGTAGATGGGATGGAATCTGAAGAAAAATTAATTGGTTCAACTAAGTAATTATCACTTATTTTATCTAGAGTTTCACCTACAATTTGTCCAATTTTAGTATCTGTACGATATTCAGGTATCGCTTGTGGTTGGTGATTTGACAATAATTCAGATTTGATACAATTTTCTGGAATTACTGAAGGTGTCAAAGGAAATGCTGGTAATTCTCCAGTATTCTCGTTATGTAACTCTTCATAAACTGAAATCGGAGGTGATGGAAGGTCGTTGTCGAATACTAAGGCTCCTTCGTCAACAGCTATATTCAATTGTTGATCACAAGTAACTTGATCCAACTCAAATTCTTGTTCTTTCGAAGAGCAATCAGTGTGATCTTCCTCAAAGAACTCACCTGACTCTACTAACACGATATCACTTTTGTCACAATCTTGACTGGCAATTACTTGTTCTACTTCTTCAGTAGCCAAAGGTGGGGGTTGATCACCTAATTTATATACCACTTTCTTATGGTCAACTGACCCGTTTTCTGTTTGCTGAACAGTTGTGACCTCCACGATTGTAAATCAAACAAATGATTGTTTATTTAATAAGTATAGGGAATTTCGAAATATATTTGATGGTAAAAAGATTATTACAAAACAATTCCCAATATATATATATATGATTTAATGGTATTAGAGTTCAGTAGTGAAGCGATCACGAAGTAAAGATATTGCCTAATGTCATATAATCTTTAAAAGTAAGAAAAAGAAGAAATAAACGTCATGATGAAATAAACAAAGATATATTTGAGGAAAATTGCTTAAAATAATCTGATTCAATATGGAGAATAGTTTTATATTGATTCCCTTGCTAACTATAAAGAGGTGGATTAGCAGATTTCAACGACATAGTTATAGATTCAGAAGATTTACCTATGTTTTTATGTAGGCAGCCGGATGATATTTTAAAAGGTTTGCAATTAGTTATTATTGCATGCCTGAAAATCCAGTTAAACAGATCTAACTAACTCTAAAAAAGTGGATTAACTCCTCCTCCGACATAAATATTAAAACAAATCTGTCGTCCGAAGTTGAAACTTGGAAAACTATTTATAGGCAGATACCTTTATTAGATATTCCAGATCCACGAACAAGAGATCATCATCAGCAACCTAATGTGGCAGAGAAGAAACCAGTTGCCGATCATTTCAGCCATATTCTAAGTGCATAATTTTTGTGACATCAATCATGAGAAAGGGACATCTTATTTCATAGCTTCCAAAAAAGTATTATTTCACTAAACTAGTAATATTGAAAATCTATTTTATGTTCAGAGGAGGGGATATTGTATAATAGTAAAGGAGAACACAATTTTTTTTATATTATTGAACTAAATGTTTACTATTCTATCTTGTAATCAAAATAATAGTAGTCATATACTTTGCGTGTGGTAATTACACATTGATCTGTTGTTTAAGTTCTATCAGTACCTAATGACCTTTAGTCATTATTATACTTATCTATGTTTGATAAAAAAATTTCTTTTTATGTGATATAATCCATAACTGCAACTTGCCTGTTGGGTTTACGTTGAGATGTGTTTAACATCATTAATCATTTCTTTCAATTTCCTCCAACAACAACCGAGAAATGAAGAAAAAACACTACTACTTTAAACCTCTTTCAAGGACAACATGAACTATAGCTCGTTATAGTTATTGTTTTTGATGAACACCCTATGCACGTGTTGATATGATACGATCAACAATTAAATTCCACATCCAGAGACATGTGTTCATTAGATATTTAATGAATCCTGATTACGATTTAAACAGGGGATTTTGCAGAGATTGGTTTAATTTGTATGTTGTATTGGTTACAGATTGATTTCAGTTGGGATGCTATTAAAAGCCAGGGAATATTGGGTAGCTGTTTCCGCCCAATATAGAACTTCTCGGCAATACTTGCACATGACCCTACTAAGAATCAAATCCAGAACCAGTCGGTCCCGCAGTAAACTATTAACAACTAAGGCCACTGGGTCGGTGTTCAATGATGCCATTCCGATTTCAATCAGTTTGCGATACACTGAGACGACATCCAATACCATTGACAGAGACTGCTCTACTCTCGTGTGATTAGGCAGTTCTTATGGGAGCGATCGAGGTATCTAATGCGACTGGTGATTAATTCGCCGAGATCACCTGCATAGGACCAATGCCCTTTCTTAGACTGATGACTCCGATGACAGAGAAATAATGACTGATTTCAGTGATTAACACCTATTTGTCCGGGGCCGAGTTTCTCTTGCTTACATGATAGCCAGAACAACAATACAGCAAACAAATAAAGTTCTATTGTACAGATTAGTTCACTAAACAGACTTGTGTGATAATGTAAATTAACTTTTGACCGTGAACGAACATAAATAAGAAATTACAATATAATCGTAATTATACCATAAGTTTAAATAAAACCAGAACAAACATGGATGTAGAATAATATGAATTCATTATATTTTGTGGTTTCTCATCAGCTGCTTACAACCAGTTATGTAATGAAAGTTTACATTGAGGCAAGATATAATGTAAATCAATTAACATAGATGAATGAAAAGAATTGGGATGACAAAGGTTATCAATAATATATATATATGCAGGAACAGATCGAAGGTGATTTGGTGTTGGGATTCAAAAAACAGAAGGGGTGGATGATGCGTTAATTAAGTAAGGTTCAGAGACAGATGAGATAGATTGTGTGGTAATTTTTGAAGTACATACATTTAATGTAATATATTTCAGAACACCGATTGAAAATTTTCAGCAACTAAAGTGTAACTCAACATGATATTAAGTAAATGATGACTGACTACTGATTTAATTAAAAGTAGGCTCAGCAGCTTACGACGAAAATGATAAGGTCTGTAATATCAACTTACCTGTGTAATTTCAATATATCATAGAGGTTAAAAACACTTTTAGCAACTAATTAGTTTCACACATAACAAAAAAGAATTAAAATTAATCCAGAATAATAGTTCTTTAATAGTAAAATTAGATATTTGTATTGTTCGCAAATGGTAGAAATATCAACAACTGTGATAGTATGTACATACATTGGACGGATAGTCTTTTAAATTATTGAGTAACATAGGTTCTATGAGTTTCCTACCTTTTTCCAGGGCACTTCTTATTCAGGAAACCTTGTTTCGTAGTATACATATACGTTTCCTTTAAACTGTTTTCAAATCATGCAGTATCATAGATTCTCCTGCTAGTATGAGCTAGATTACTGTAAATCTCTTCGAAAGAATGAACACAATTACATACATATTCTCTTATATTTTAATGCTTATCGAAACCCATGATATTAAGTTGATATTTATTTCTCCAGGATAATACTATCTGTATGACTGATATGTCATTTTATAGATTATTGCAATAGTCAACAATGAAGATTTTATCCTGTATCTCGATGTATCTTACGTGGAATAATGTTAAGTCTAGCATACTAATAATTTATCATCAAATGTTTAAAATACTTTAAGTTAATTGAAGAGATTTTCAGTGAATGAATTTCCCTGTGTCTTTAGAATTCTCAGAACAAGGTATTTAATCTTCAGACTACTAAGCTGATATTCAACGGTTTACATGTATAACTTCACTAGATTCAAGACATAGCAGGATCATTATCCATTTTCATTGATAATATTTATCTCAAACCCAACATGAAGTTCTTCGCTAGTGAGTAAACGATGAGTTTTTAGCATAAAGGGTTGTTGAAATTGCTGAGCTCCTTTTGACGCCATAAACCAACTTTAGTCAAACCTAAATCAATCCGTGACATGAAGCTTTGAATTCCTGAATATCAACAACACCTTATAATTTAAAAAAAAAGAATTCTAAAATAACTAAGATCAGCTAATGAAACATTTATAACCAGACGAGTACTAAACAAGTAGCCTAAGACTTTATAATCAATGTAGTGTACAACCTTATTTGAGTGATCGAATCCACAAGTATTAAAGTCTCATAATAAGAGTATTTTCTTTCAATAGTTGAGATTATGAGTCAATTGAAGCTAGACCACCATGGAAAACCTGATGACAATGGTGGATGTGTCGCTCAATTTCGTGGATTAGTTGAAGTTAGACATTAACACTGTTGGATGACGGCTCAGTGGTCTAGTTGGTTAAACGCTCGGCGTGATACTGTAGGTCCTGGGTTCGATTCCCGCGAAGCGGGATCGTGGATGCACACTGCTGGGGAGTCCCACAATAGGACGAAACGGCCGTCCAGTGCTCCCAGGTTTTCCATGGTGGTCTAGCTTCAATTGACTCATGATCTCAACTATTGAAATTACTACAATCTCCACAAGAGTATTTTCACTGAGCCCGATGACCTGTCGTTCAATGGTTTATCATAAAAACTATTAGATATGAATCACATGAATCTTGCAAAAAACGTTGCTTACTATTACTTTTATCGAATTTTTTTTAATATCTGAATTCCAGTTTTAACCAATCATATATGCAAATACCGAAAGAAGTTCAACGAAAAATAGAAATCAGCTATAGACAGACAGCCAGATAGATAGACAAACAGACAGACAACAGAAAATAAATCAATAAATATGATGGAAAGACATCAGCAGTAGTTGTTGTTCATTAGAACAGGGAAATAAATAAATTCTCCTTAACTTTTCAATATGCTTACCGAGTACCAAAAATAATTATTTATTTATTCACTCGCAGAAAATTAGTAATCTCATAAAAGTTTTTTTTGGAGAAATGATAATTTCAATGAAGACAAAGCTTGAACAAGGGTGGAGTGAGGAAGAAAAACGCTTATGTACACAACTTCCTAGGTAAACAAACACATACACATATAGGCATAGAAATATACTAAAAATTGTGTTTACTCATCGCATGAATCAAATTTATGTATGTGACAAGAATAGTTTAGTTATATCCACTGACCATTATGAAAATTATGTATCTCATAGAGAAAATAGTCCCTGACTTACCTGGAGTTGCCTTTTGTAGAAATCTTTAATATATGCAGAAATATATTTCTTACCTATTAGTTTACTGTTATTTATCATGCTGAATAAAATTTATTCTTTAAGAAAACTATATACATAGTTTTACACTAAATTGGTTATCCCCAATAAAGTTTTTGTCAATAAATTCCCCGAAGAATTACGGAGATGACATTATGCGAGAACAATAGTTGTCATCACATTCGTAAGAATAATTTATAAATAGAAGCCGTTATTACTGAGATAATGAACCGATCAGTGTTAGACCATCATCGAGAACCTGAAAGTACTGGATGGTCGTTTCGTCCTATCCTCAGCAGAGTACACCCACGATCCCAAACACGGGACTCCAACATAGGACCTTCGGTTTTTTGCGAACACTTAACCTCTAGACCATTGAGCCGGGATCCGATAATGTCCAAACCACAATATTGCGCGATCTACTCAATAAAAAGTCAACAATTTCCACAACCCTATACTAAAAAATGTCGTTATTTGTTTTTACATTCTTAATTCACTAACTCGTCTATTATTTAGTGAACCAATTATTAAATGATTTCTCTATCATTTTATCATGAACAAAAATAATTGATTCACGTGTTATTTGAAATCGACACTTTAAAAAGTTGATACTTCCGCCGATATGAAAATATTCTACATTATGAACTGACTTTAGCCATATGTTCATGAAAAAGCTGGAAAGCTGTGGACAGGTATTTTACCTTAGGATACGACATTTCGAAACTTTTCCCATCCTAATAGCAGTGATAATAATAATAATAATAATAATAATAATAATAATAATAATAATAATAATAATCTCTTACTTGATGACAGCTAGTTTATGGAAGTAATCGAGAAACCGTAAGTAAGAAGACATAACTGAGATAAAGTTCAACCTTATTGGGTGTGAGGTAATTTTTCCATTATACAAGTGAGTAACTCTCTCAGAATATTGTATATTGACTGAAGTTGAATATGCGGACTATCAAATATCACAGCTCAGGAATTTCTAAATGTTTAGTACTTGTGAAGAGACCTAAAGGTTATGGGTTCAGTATTTATTTATTTGTTTGAACACATAAACATTAGTACAAGGTGAAACCAAATACATATGAGCCATTTAACAACAATGAGGTTGTGAAGAGATTGAGAATAGAGGGTGTGTATGATAAAAGAGTAACAATGAACAGAAACTAGTGTATGAGAGTAAAATAATAATAATAATAATAACAGTGGAAGAAGCAGTCCAGTTAGGAAAAATACAACCAAAAAGAATCCTTTCACTTTTGTGAAAAAAGTAAAAGAAAGTTACACCAGGATTGCTGCTCTCTTCTACTCTGAGTCATGTCTGATAACGTCTCTAGCCAATGTGTTGTACCATCTCTAGAACTCCAACCAGAGAGTCATGAAGAACCAACAGAAACCAGTCCTGTACACCTTCCTTTCATGTTACGATACCATGCCATATACTGACCACCTCTCTGCCCTTTGCAACAGGTCCGGCGTCGGCAAATAATGCACGATAAGAAATTCACTGGGACGTAGGTTACTAGCATTTGATCATAGGTGTCTTCGAAATATTGCTCGTATATCCTGGAACCATCGAGTAAGTAATGCAGTTGTTAGGAAACGGGTACTAGGTAAGGATGGCAAATCAATTGATGACGTAGTGAAACTTCATCAGTTGAGATGGCTGGGACACGTGTTACGTATGCCCAACAACCGACTGCCTCGACGTGCGATGTTCAGTGGTATAGGAGTAGGTTGGAAGAAAGCTAGGGGCGGTCAGACCAAAACATGGCAAAAGTCCATGAAGTCAGTGACAAGTGGACTGAACCATGTTGGTAGGTGTAGACTATCTGGTTGGGAACCGCGAGATGATAGCAATCGATGGTTAGAGACCCTGAATGACATGGCTCAAAATCGTTTGCAATGGCGCAGGTGCATACACTCTTTGTGTTCTCCCAAATTTTGATCTCCTGATTCCTACTTGTCTCTTTTTTTTCTCTTCCCAAATTTATTTCACTGTATTATACTCTTTAAATAACATCTCCAAACACTAATCTTCCCGACTACTGCTTATACTCTTATTACCTCTACCACTACGGGATTTGAATCGACCACTGCATCTCTATGCTAATGTGGTGTGGCAACTCGAACTGATGTACGTACGTACGAAGTTCTACGTTGTTACTGACTGACTGACTCACACTGGGACGACACTCATAAGGCATGTCCAACACACCGAAGTCGATGTTTCAAGATGGTGACACCAATTGAATTATTGTCTCTGTGTCCGAACACACGATGCCGAACCTCTGCATTACTGACATGGTGTTGCCACTAGATTTCAGCAATCCGTCAGAGACAACGATGATCAAACACAGAGAGTCGTCTAACATCCTCAACTTGGAGAGGCCAGGTTTCACAAGCATAGAGCAAGACTGTTCTCACCGACACGTTGTAAATTCGACCTTTTACAGCCAGACTAACATCACGAAGGCGCCAAAGATAGCCCAGATTACCATAAGCCGCTCTGGGTTTCACTATACGTGAAATGATCTGACCACTCACGTCACCACCAGCACTTATGCAGCTACCTAGATACATGAACTTTCCGACTACTTCTATCTGCTCACTTCCCAGGGTGAGTACAGGATCAGGGTCCTACCAGTCTTGTAAAAGTACTTTGCAACTAGAAGATGCAAAACACAAACCGTACCTATGGACACTAATTGCCAACTGATTAAGTGTGGATTGCATGGCTTGTGTATTATCGCACAGTAAGACAATATTATCCGCATACTCAAGGTTGAAAAGTCTTTCTCCAAAACATCGTGGATAGCAAAGCTGAAAAGGAATGGTGAGATTGGGCAACCCTATCTAACCCCACTGCTTGAATGGAACAGTGGAAATAGGTGTTCGTTTGTACTCACTCTATCTGAGGTGTTAGTATATACTACTTTCAAGATCTTAATAAGCTTTATAGAGACACCCTTCTTCAATAGACAATTCCAGAGAACAGTCTTGTCGGACGAGTTGAAAGCGGACCTAATGTCAAGAAAAACTATAATTGTTGGCCTGTAAATCTCCATACAGAGAAAAAAG